GAGACAGGGTGCCAGTGGGGACAGAGTCCTCTGCTCCCACCTCCTCCCAGGACTTCCCCTTGGTTGTCTTGGAGCTACAGAAAGTCAACTCCTGGCCGCACAGTTGTAGGACCCTGTATTACTCAGTGTGTATGAGTAGCAGGTGCTGTTCCCTGGTAGCAGCCAGCTCTTGTTAAATTAGCAAAAGAACATGGTAGACGTCAAAATAAAGTGGAAGCAAATGGATGAAGTGATTTACTATAGGATGCATCCACATCATGTAAAGATTCAGTGCTTGTAAAATGATTTGAAAGGGTATGACATCTGGAGGACTGGTTGTCCCACGTTATGAGATAAATAGCTCCATGGGCACATCTACACACCAGGGCTGAAATCGAATCCAGGTTTGCAGCTGGAGATCAGACTGACCTTGGAGCCTCAGCCCAGAATTGGTTTATCTTGGCAACACTTAATTTCCTTCCTTATATAAAATAGAATTTACATTGTTTGAGTGTTTGATTGTTTTTCTATTGTTCCTAGCAGATCTAGTCATCTAATGCAACAGATGAACTCGGATTTTCACTTAGCTTAGAAGATCTATCAACATTGATTTCCCTATTGTTTTGTCTCTTGGATTAACAGTTCCCCCATCTCCATCCTTTTTCCATTGGAATCAAAAGTTGTTTTCCATGACTTCACCTTGGAGGTTATTAACCATACTTTCCTAGTGCTGTTGTTTTTCCCTCACATATTAACACTGACTGTCCTCTATGCAATAATTGTGAATTCCCCCAGCAGAAATACCCAAGGGGGTTACGTCATTTCAGATGAAGGAGATATATTCCAGCCAGGAGGGGCATTCATTTCCCGTAAACTGGTATAACGACAAATTCTGCCGAAAAGAGCTGTAGGAGCCAGACTTCCAGGTAGGAACCCCAAACTCAGTTTACCGAGAGAATGAAAGAATACCTGTGATAGAAGAAAATGGGACATATTTCGCAAAGACAATAACCGTGTCTCAGGAAATTCAGCGGTCAAAGGGCAGCTGGCAATAGGTCATCGGTGCAAAAAGGAAAGCAGCAGAGTTAAAATGAAAGAGTTTAGAAAAGGAAAAAGTATCTGCTCAAGCATCCACCATGTCGGAAAGAACAGGATTGCGCAGAAATGACTGTAGATGGGTGAGAGCAAATTTTGCCTAGTAATGCTCTCAGACTTACAACATAGCAAGAAGCATGGGCTTCTCTTCTGTATGGGCTCCTTGTGTACACATTGTATTTTTCATGCTGGGAGTTTTATTGCTCTTCAATATTTTGAAACGCAACTTAAGGTACGTCTGCAAAGCAGCACGTACTTCGAAATAATCCACACAATTTGAGCTACGTAAATCGCATAGCTGATTTCAAAATAGCTTATTTCTAAATTTGGCTCTGTTTTCACACTGCTAATTTTGAAATACATCAGTTTCTCAGCGTTTTCCTTAAACCCCGTCCCACCTCCGAGACTACCAAAGATATTTATAGCATCATGAGCTTTCATGGGCAAAACCCACTTCCTCAGATCCTCTGGAGAGGGATAACACAAACCCAGAATTTATAACATAAAAAGAAAGGAGGGAAAGTACCTCTTAATTATGGGATGGGTGTTGAGTCTAATTAAGTGTGATGGAAGTTTCCCATACTTAGCTTTTGATGTAAAAATGAGCTGCTAAATTCAGGAAAGGTTGGTTTTGGATTAAATCTTTCCAGTTTTTAGTTACAGACTAAAACAGCTACCCCTCTAAGTATATATATACTGTAGTTCCACTTTTTCTCTAATTCGGTTCACTTTGTTTTCCCCTGAAACTTTCTCCCTTCTGGATAAAATGACTTCCTTTCTTCTCTCTTGACAAGTCCTCATATTTATGTTCCTTACACTTCTTTGGATGGGATTGCAGCCTGGTCTCAGTTACACTTGTGTAAGTCCACAGAAATCCGATGCAATTTACCCGAGTGTATCTGAGATTAGGCAAACAGGGTACAGGGTTGTTTTTCTTTTCTGGTCTGCCTTTCTCTGTTTCTCAGCTGCATTCATCAAACAGGGCCCATAATTCTATGCATTTTCTGCAATAGCTGGATAGATCTTTTTCCAAACCAAATCCTCACAGTGTTTCATTTGTGTCGTATGGGGTATGTCTATCCTGCCTCCACAAAATATAATTTCCTGCTCTGATAGCCATGTAAATACTACAGGTTGAACTTAGCATGGCTATGGGCAAGTTTCCCATTTTCCCGTAAAGTGTGTATACAGCCACCAGTTCTGGCTCTCAGGGTTCTGTGCTGTTATTTAGCTGTAATTCACCCCTAAATGTCTCCTAACAGCCCAGCAAGCAATGGAAGCATTGGTAATGCTGCCAGACAATATCGATCTCACGAAGTCCGGCAAATTCTGTGGTTCAGCACCAGGCAGATCCCAAACGTGCAGGATGAGAGAGTTTCAACCTGTACCTTTGCCTGAGTTATTAAGTCTATACTGCTGTTATTAGCATGACCACATAGACTAGTGGCCCAAACACAATTCCATTTGAGACCCTAGGTACGTAGACAGTTGGCTGTCTGAGACAGCTGTCTGACCTGCTGGGTCCTCATTGCTAATTTTATCTTAATAGCTTGATCACAGCCAGTGCACGTATGTCTACCGATAGAGAATTACATCTCAGTGCAGGGTATATGGACCTGGGTTGAAGTCTTACTAGCTCCTATTTCCAACCTCCTGATTTATTTTTTATGTCTTCAACATTTGTTGATAAGACACCCGTATCAAAGAGATGTTTCAAAACCCCCTCCTAAAGGTATTGCTTTATAATTCAGTGGAGTTTAAGGGAGTTAGAAGGAGCATTTCTGCAACTCAGCAGTGGTTCTGAGGCCTTGAGTTATTGACATATGAAGCTCAACCTCTTAATTATGTGAGTCTTCTTTGGTTCATTGACAACTTCATTTTTCCAATTGACAGATGCAGGTTACCTTTTCCCAATTACTGCCAGTGAAACTGACCACTGGTCTCAGCTGTGCGCTGCTCAGTATTTAATGTTCTTCTTTTTCTAGAGACCTATGATGGAGAAAGTGGAAAGAAGAAACCAGACACTCATCACAGAATTCATCCTCTTAGGATTTGGGGAGGGCCCAGAACTCCAGCCCCTTCTCTTCTTCGTCTTCTTCGTCATCTACTTTGTGACTTTGACCGGGAACCTCTTCATCATTGGAGACTTCCTACACCTGCACCATCCTGCCCAGGCTGCTGGTCAGTCTCCTGACTGGGGACAGAGCCATCTCCCTTAAGGGCTGCCTGGTGCAATTATATTTCTTTGGTATCCTGGCAACTATTGAAAATATGATCCTCACGGCCATGTCGTACGATCGGTATCTAGCAATCTGCCACCCCCTCCGCTACGCTGCTCTGATGAACGGCCGGGTGTGTATCCAGCTTGTGGTGGCATCCTGGATAAGTAGCCTTCTGGGCTGTGCCCTTGTACATATTTTCTTTTTCCAGTTAACATTCTGTGATTCAAAAGAAATTGACCATTTCTTCTGTGAATTCGCATCCATGCTACCGCTCTCTTGTAGCAGCACCCGGATTCTGCAACTGGTGGCATTTACTGATGCTGCCATCGTGACACTTGTACCTTGTGTAATGACTCTGGCGTCCTACGTTTGTATCATCGCCACCATCCTAAAAATCCCTTCCACCACTGGGAAACAAAAGGCCTTTTCCACCTGCTCCTCCCACCTCATGGTGGTGACACTTTACTATGTGATCATATTTGCTATCTATGTGGTTCCAATAGTCAGCACTCCCAAAGTATCGCAAAAAGTATTTTCTGTCTTCTGCACAGTCCTGAATCCCATGATCAACCCCATCATCTACTGCCTGAGAAACAAGGAGGTCAATGAATCCCTGAGAAAAGTTCTTCATAAACTGGTTGCTGTCAGACACAGAAACAGAATTTGAAAGCACAAATTGTAGCATAAAATGAAATAGAGATGGACTGAGATACTTAGGGTGCATCTACACAGCACCCTAAACTCAAAATAAGATATGCAAGTTGTGCTTCGCAATTGCATATCTTTTTTCAAATCTCTCTCAAAAGAGCTTATTTTGAAATTTAGCTTGTTTACACAATGCCAACTTTTGAAATATCCTGCTATTTCGAGCAATCCTTTATGTGCCTGAGAAACAGGAGGTTAATGAGTCCCTGAAGAAAGCTCTTTGTAAACTGGTTGCTGTCAGACACAGGAAGAGAATCGGAAAGCACAAATTTTAGCATACAATGAAATAGAGATGGACTGAGATACTTACGGTGCGTCTACACTCCTCCCCACACTCGAAATATGACGTGCAATGAAAATAGAATCTATTTTGAAAGAACTTAGTTTGAAATTTGGCGCATCTATGCAGTGTGAAATTTCAAAATAACGTGCTATTTCAAGCCGTCCCTTAACCCTCGTCAAATTAGGTTTATTGGGATGGCAAAATAGTATGCCTGTTATTTCGAAAAATATTTTGAAATAACTGGTGGCTTGAGTAGATACAGGGTAGCTATTTCGGGATAAACCTGGTATTCCAAAATAATCGTGCAGTGAAGACATTCCCTAAGACACATCCCAATTTCTTTCTGCTACTTTTGGAGCATTCATCTTTTATCCATTAATACTCATCTCTTTATGCAAAGTTAATACTGTATGAACTATGTTTAACTGATTTTTTTCCCTAGACACACTTTTCAATAAAATACTCTGCTTCATTTATCCCCACATATACTCTACTGCTCAAACTCTGCGGGGAGGTGAACCTATTTAGAGTGTTCTGGGTCTTCTCAACTCCCACAAAACCCAATGACTTTCATTCTCTACTTATTGGCTTCCTCTGTTGTCAGTTTTGCCTCTGAAAAGTAGGTGACAAACATTGCCACCACACCTAGTGGAGTTCTGTGCTTAGAAACATTCTCTGCAGAACTGGGGCTGGGCAAATAATTTCCTGGCTGTGGATGGTTGGAAGCTTCAGATTTGTGCTGTGTGAAATTTCTTGCTAATTGAGAAATGTTTGCAGAGTCAAGACAACATTAAAAAGCAGGTTGATCCTCTGTAGTCTGGCACCTTCAGGACCTGACCAATTCTGAACCGGAGAATTATCCAGACCACGGAAGGTCATTATTGTCTAGCAGCATTACCAACACTTCTACGCCTTGCTGAGCTCTGAGAAGGCATTTAAGGGTAAATTGGAGCTAAATAACAGCACAGAACATGGAGAGTCAGGACTGGTGGCTATAAACAAAGTTTATGGGATGGTGGGAAACTTGGCCAAGTGGACATCTGGCAAACTCAAATCATTCCAGATGATGGATGTTTCTGGACCAGAGAATTCTGGACTAGAGAGGTTCATCTTGTATCTATATCTCTATGCATAGTGTTATCAATATTCCCATTGATACAGACAAACAAAATGGAAACAGAAGATGGATGGTCCCAATTTTCAAAGCTCCTCTGCCCCGATCTCTGTCCTCCACCCAAATAAAAATGAATGAATGGCAACAAATAGGAAAGGAGCACTGAAAAACACATGGCAACTTTTCAAATCATTGTCCAGTTATTCTCCCATTGGACTTGTTCACCCCAGATAGAAATTTACCACCAAAGTTTGACCAAAAAGGGAATTAAAGTATACAACCTTAGAGTTTCCTGGGGAATTTCTGGTCTTCCTCCAAATTTTCCAATCCTGTTTTTGGCCAGAAATTAACATGATCCCCCTTCACTGATTTTTTACTCTTTATATGCCCATTGTACCCTTCAGCACCCATTCCACCCTCCGGCTGTCCCCTGATGCAAAGCCATGTGGGGCTGTGTAAATGGAGCTGTACACTTTTTGTGGCTTCCTGTATCAGGCTTTTCTTGGATGAAAAGGACAGAAAGTGAGGAGGGGGCTAGAGCACATGACTTGAGAGGAGAGACAACAGGATTAGGGTTAATTTAATCCACAGAAGAGGGAGGGGGGATTTGAGAGCAGCCTTCAGCTTCCTGAGTTGTAATATATTGGATACTTTGTATCGTGCTTTCTGTAGAATCATACTCTCTTCTTGGAACAAAATACAGGACTATGTAGCACTTTAAAGACTAACAAGATGGTTTATTAGATGATGAGCTTTCGTGGGCCAGACCCACTTCCTCAGGGAGCTCCCACTGAGGGTGTGTCTAGACTACAGGGATTTTTTTTGAAAGTGGCCTTTTTTTGAAAAATCCTTACCTGCATCTAGACTGCTGCCACGTTCTTTTGAAAGTAAATCGAAAGAATGTGGCAGGTGTTTTGACTGCGGAAAACCTCGTTTTATGTGGAAGAACACCTTTTTTCGAAAGTGCTCTTTCGAAAAAAGGCGCTATGTAATGCAAACTGTGCTTTTTCGACAGAGAGCATCCAGACTGCCTGGAAAGTGGCTTGCTTTTTCGAAAGTACTGGCTGTAGTCTAGATGTTCTTTTTCAAAAGAGGCTTTTTAGAAAGTATCTTTTGAAAAAGCTTCTTTCGAAAGAGGCTAGCAGTCTATTTGTAGCCTGAGAGTCACTAAGAGTTGGTTGTCTCATTACTAAAGGCCTAGTTGAAAATTGCATCCATAACTCCAGAATCCAAAAGATAAAAAATCATGTAACCATGTAAATTACTTTTAGGCTTCCATAGGACTTTTGTCATTTTTTAAATTAAGCATTGGCTTACATGTTTTTTCAGATGAGTGTCTTAATTCACAATACTCAAAGGAGTTGAATTTTAAATTCATAATCAGAGAGCTAGCTAGGTGTGTAGGTATGTTATTTATACTGGTGTGATTCAGAGTTAACTCATTCAATGCCAGTGGCATTGGTCTGGATTTTATGACTTCCTAATTAGGTGCATCCTGTCTTGTCAAGGAGAGAGTTTTGTCATCCACTTGTTATATTCATAAAGAATCTCAATGAAGTCTCAGTCAAGGCACTATAAGGGTGCATCTACACTGCACCATAGCTCGAATAAGATACGCAATTTGAGCTATTTATTTTCGTAGAATCATAGAACACTAGAACTGGAAGGGATCCCGAGAGGTTATCATATTCAGTCCTCGGAGTGGTAGAAATGGAATCTGACGCCTTCAGAGGCAAGGGGTTCGACTCCCATTACTTTCTCACCCCAAAGAAGATGGGAGGCTAGAGGCCTATTCTAGACCTCCACAGATTGAATCAGTATCTTCAAAACAACTATTCAAAATGGTTACCTTAACATCGATAATCACCATGTTAGAGAAGGGAGACTGGTTTGCAGCCATCGACCTGCAGGACGCCTATTTTCACCTTACTATACACCCTGTGCACAAACCAGTCCTACATTTCGTGGTGGGATCAGATCATTACTAGTACCAAGTATTACATTTCGGCCTTTCTTCCGTACCCAGACTGTTCCGAAAGATGCTTGCTGTCTCACGGCCTACCTTCGCAGACGAGGCATGATTATCTTTCCTTACCTGAACAATTGCTTGGTAAAAGGCCCAACCAAAACAGAGATACACTGAATGGTATTGACAACTAGGCAAACATTCGAGTTTTTGGATCTTATACTCAATGTACGGAAATTGACACTACAACCGACACAGACCCCTGAGTTTGTAGAAAGATGATGTCTGTCTGTACTTTCCTAGAGTTTGTAGGCACGCCATTAGATTCTAGCTCAGCAAAGGCATACCTACTGTTACAAAGGTTTCAAGTGATGCAAAAGCTTATTGCTGCTCTCACGACCAGTCCTACTGTTCCAACACTAACCTGCCTTCAGCTCATGGATCACATGGCCCCTACGACATATGTGGTCAACCACATGTCTGCACTTTCGATGCCTTCAGCATTGGCTTGCTTCCGTTTATACCCACCTCAGATGACAAGTGCACAGACTGGTATCTCCTTGCCACATCTTAAGATCTCTCAAATGGTGGTATATCCTTCTAGCAGGCGTCTCATTTCACCGAGATCAACCCTCTGCACATATAACTACCAACGCTTCCCTTGTTGGATGAGGAGCCACATGGATACCATGTCAATACAAGGATGATGGACTACTCAGGGCTGTCTTCAATGCGTGCAGGCATTTCGTTACACACATTCGGGGCAACACTATCGGAATATTGACCGACAACATAACAACAATGTATTATATAAATCGCCATGGTGGTGCTCGATCCCATTCTCTATGCTCTGAAGGAGTCCAACTATGGAACTGGTGCATATGAAACAAAATCGTCCTGGTAGCTTCATACTTACCGTGCATCAACAACTTAACAGCAGACACCCTCAGCAGACACTTTGCCCCAGACCACGAGTGGGAGCTCTATCCCTGGGTTCTCCAATCCATCTTTCACCGATGGGGTCTTCTGAAAATAGACCTGTTTCCTTCCTACAAAAACAAGAAATATCAGCATTATTGCTCCAGAGCCAGCATCAGACCGGGATCTCTAGGGGACGCCTTTCTCCTCAGCTGAAAAGCTCCCCTTTTATAGGCATTCCCTCCTACTCTGCTCATTCCCAAAGTGCTAAAGAAGATCAACAGAGATGAGGTGACAATTATTCTTATAGCCCTGTTTTGGGCACAACAGATATGGTTCCCTTATCTGTATCTGGTGTCTCCTCAGCCACCCTGTCAACTTCCGATTCATTGTGACCTCTTAACTCAAAGCAGGGGAACCTTACTCCACCCACAGTAACAGGTCCTACGCCTGACAGCATGGCTCATTTTTGTTTCTATGAGGGGGAACTACATGTTCAAACCAAGTGAAAGAGGTTCTTCTGTACAGTAGAAAGCGATCTACCCATTACACTTACCTCCAAAAATGACGTAGATTACTTTTGTGGTGTTCCAACAAAGATTTGGACCCAGGCACAGGACCCTTACACGAAATTCTAGACTACATCTTGTTCCTCAAGGATGCTGAATTGGCCTTCCATTTGGTAGCTATTACTGCTTTTCATCAACCAGTAGATGGTGGTTCAGTTTTCGCACACCCCATAACAAAAAGATTCATAGAAGGTCTCTCTATACCCACCACACAGATTGCTACCACCACTGTGGAACTTGGAAATGATGCTGGACGCTCATTGTTACCCATGCCTCCCTTGAGCAATCACTTCTGTCCTCAGAAGTAGCCTTAATGGCAGTACTACCGTATACCATTTTTAATAGAGACAATGGGGTATTATGTCCACATCCCTCCTTCATTCCTAAAGTATGTTTGGACTTCCATATAAATGAACCAATTGTCCTCACTTCCAGGATGAAATGTTTCATTCTCTGGACATACGCAGAGCTCTTGCGTTCTATATAGCCAGAACTCGAACTTTCCATAAATCCGAGCACTTACTAATCTCCACAGTGGAGAGTACTAAAGAAGATCTTCTGTTTTCGCAATGTATCTCCAACCTAATAGTCTCCTGCATTACGACATGCTATACCTTAAGGCAGGGTTATTCAACTGTGAAAGCCCCTGGAGCCACAATGATACTCACAGCACATGCCAAGGGTCACAACTTAAGTGTGATTGTATATATATATGGCCTCCATGGTTCTATCGATTGCTGTTAAGCCATGACTCCGAGGCCCTTCTTTTCCACTTACTCTTGAGTATTGCTACATAGTCACCAACAATGAAGCACCCACGGGGACATCAGTTGAAGAAGAAGAGGAAGTTACTCACTTTGGTGCAGTAACGATGGTTCTTCAAGATATGTGTCCTCTCTCCTCCTCATTTCGGAGTCTCCTATTATGTTTTTCAGATACAGGATTGGACTTGAGGAACTAATGGGAACCGGACCACGTGCGCGATAAAAAAGGCACAAACGGCTCAAGGCATGAGCTTCACATGTACTGTCCAGCTGATGACTGCTCATGAATACTCTAGTCTGCAGTGCTGGGATGACCCAACACCAAAGGAACATCTAGACTACCCACGTCTTTCGAAAGATATGTAAATTTGACATGAATTTGCATATCTTCTTCTGATCCCGTATTCAGAAGAGTTTTTTTGAAAGAAAAAAAAAACAGTCTAGATGCGGTTCTTTCGAATAAACCCCCCTTTTTCGAAAGAACCCTTCTTCCTAAAAAAATGAGGTGTACAGGGTTCTTTAGAAAAAGAAGGTTTTTTTCAAAAGAGCTACATCTAGACTTTTTTTCCCCAAAACACTCTTCTGAAAATGGGATCGGAAGAGAATATGCAAATTCACACCAAATTTGCATATCTTCTTTCAAATGCTGCAGGCAGTCTAGATGTGCCCCAACAGTGAAGCGCTCATGGGGACACACATCTCAAAGAACCATCATTACTGAACCAAGGTGAGTAACTTTCTCTTCTGAGGGTGAGTGGGTGAGCTTGTGTCGCTGTTTTTTCTCATGGCTTGCTCAACATACTGGGCAGGACTAAAGGACTGAAAAGTGAAACAGGAAGTGACCAAGGGAGTGGGCAAACAGAGGCAGCAAATGGGCATTTGAGAGAGAGGTGCACGAACGAAGGATCTGGTGGGCGATGGCCCCATCATTTTTGAAAGTGGGAAGTCTTGGGGGAAAAGTTGATGTGGGGCTGGAGCATTGGAGGAATGGGTGGTATGAGGGCAGGGCCTTGTGACAATGGGAGGTGGGAGGACAGGACTTCAGGGGCTAGAGGTGTGTGGCAGGGAGGGGCCATATTTCATGTGCTGATATCCCCCCCCACCCATTAGGAATCTCTGTCTCCTGTGGTTTGACAAGGAGTTTGTAGGAGAGCAAAGAATAAAATCCAGGGCTCAGAAAGGCTTTGGCACCCATCCCAGTGTTGCATCTATTTCCAGACAGAGAACCCAACCATGTATGCGTCTCTCCACATCCCGGGGTTGATTTGCTGAGGCTGGTGTCTGAATTTCTTTCCTACAAAGCCAGGCTGGAGACACCATCCAGCGTGAGAGGCGTATGCTGATAGAATCTGCCAGGCCGTGGGCGGCAGAGGTGCAGAGGGAGGAGTCTCGGCTGAGGACCATCCATGCCCAAGAGATGTTCATTGAAAACATGTCTATGGAGACCTCTGAGGCTGAGGAAGCCACCCAGCTGTGCTGGATGGGAGTAGCACCACCAGTATTTATTTGTGTATTTATTGAAATGAAAAACGATAATACACATAACTATAGAAGGATCTAGGTGCCCTAACACATCCTAAATGAGACAGCAACTGTCTACAAATCTATAGGAACTTTTTTTAAATTCTTCATCATTGGGGGAAAAAAATCCAAATCTGCTAGAAAAAACTTTTAAAGAAACTATGATAAAGACACGTTGAATAAATGACATTTTTTCATGGCTACCTCCATGTACTCAAACATACTTTGCAAATTCCAAAAGTCACCAGGAGCAAAGAAACAGTGATGCAAAGTCAAGCCCCTCATACATCATCCACAGTTGTGGTCTCCCAAAACTGGAGAAGTGACCAAAAGTTAATGAAGCTCATTAATGACATAGCTTTGATTATTGATATCCTGTGCAATGTGTTCAGAAAACATAGTTATATTACTCCGCCAGTCAGTGGGAGGGGTATGTAGGAATATTTATTGCCAGCTACCTAGATTCGGATCTTACTTACACTGGTGTGATTCAAAATTAACTCATTTAGTGCCGGGGCATTAGTCTGCATTTTATGATTTCCTAAACAGGTGCATCCAATCTTCTCAATAAGTGAATTTTGTCATTATTTAATTAGATCCGTAAAGAAGCTGAGAATAAAATCGCAGTCAAGGCACAATGACAGACACTGTAATTGTTGATGAATAACCTCCACATAGTTTCTTTAATGCAGCTTTGAGCTCCCTGTTCCTCATGCTGTAGATGACTGGATTCATCATGGCAGGCACCACGGAGTACAGAACACCCACCGCCAGATCCAGACTTGATCCTGAGCTGGGGGTGGATTTCAGATAATTAAACATGGAAGTGAAAAGTAACAAGGAGACCACAGCGAGGTGGGGGAGGCAGGTGGAGAAGGCTTTGTGCCGACCCTGCTCCGAGGCCATGCTCAGCACAGCTTTGAAGATCTGAACATAAGACACAATGATAAAAACAAAGCAACACACAGCTAAAAACAGACTAATGGCAAGAAGCCCAACTTCACTGAGGTCCGAGTCGGAGCAGGCCAGCTTGAGGAGCTGGGGGATTTCACAGAAGAACTGGTTGACGATGTTGGCCTGGCAGAAGGGTAACCTGAAGGTGTTCCCGGTGTGCAGGGCAGAGTAGACAATACCTGTGATCCAGGCAGTGCCTGCCATGTTAACACAAGCTCTCCTGTTCATCACTCTCTCATAGTGCAGCGGTTGACAGATGGCGATGTATCGGTCATAGGCCATGATGGTCAGGAAGACAAAATCAGCTTCAAGGAAGACTACAAAGAAAAAGACTTGGGCGACACACACAGGATAGGAAATTAACTGGGTGTCCAGCAGAGAGTTGGCCATGGATTTGGGGACGATGACGGAGATGGAGCCGAGGTCTGTTATGGACAAGTTCCCCAGGAAGAAATACATGGGGGTGTGGAGACGATGGTCAAGGACGATGGCTGAGATGGTGAGAAGATTCCCCATCAGGGTTGCCAGGTAAAGTACCAGGAACAGCACAAAGTGCAAAATCTGCAGCTCCCGGACGTCAGAGAAGCCCAGGAGCAGGAACTCGGTCACGGTGCTTCGGTTGGACATTTTCTTCTTCAGTTCACAGTGTGGGGACTGAGGAGGGAAGAGCACAGACAGGAGTTGGGATCAGAGTGATACATTGAATGGCCCCGATTCCCTGCAGCAATCTCTCATGCTTTGAGTCTCCACTATGCTCAGTGCCCGTCCAAGCTACTCACTAGGGCTGTGTCTAGACTGCCCACTTTTTCTGGAAAATCAGCCGCTTTTCTGGAAAAACTTGCCAGCTGTCTACACTGGCTGCTTGAATTTCTGCAAAAGCACTGACGATCTCATGTAAGATTGTCAGTGCTTTTGAGGAAATACTATGCTGCTCCCGTTTGGGCAAAAGTCTTTTTCCGAAAAACTTTTGCGCAAAAGGGCCAGTGTAGACAGCAGAGATTTGTTTTCCGCAAAAAAGTGAAAATGGCGATCGGGGCTCTTTTGTGCTTTTCCGAAAATGCTTTTAACAGATAACTTTTCCGTTAAAAGCATTTCCGGAAAATCATGCCAGTGTAGACGTAGCCCAAGGGTGGTGAGTTACCGCCCGGGTGTCAAATGGCCCGTACCCCATACCATCCATGGAGCTGCATCAATTTGCGCAATCTGGGAATGGCCGAGGGTGACTCAGGATGGGGCTGGATACAATGCCCTATGAAGGATGGAGCAAAGCATAATTCAACCCCCAACAGCTGCATCCAAGAGGGATCCCCTGTTGCTACAACCAGCAAGCCCTAGGCAGGGGCATGAAAGAAAAATTCCAGCAGTGCCTGGACACCACTTTCTGGGGAAATGTGAGACTCACAGTGACTCAGTATCCTGCATGGCAGCTCATCTATTAAATTCCATTGCAGCATCGCATGAAGGTCCTGCTGCCGCGGTACTGATTTACGACACAGACTCCCACTTCCACCTCCCTGTACGTGTAGGCTAGTAACACCTCCCAGCTACCTCTCCACTGTGTCATGCTCTCGGTCACTTATGCCTGCACAGCCCCCTGGCTTTTGGAACACCTGGATTCTATTCCTGGCTCTACCACTGACCTGCCCTGTGATATTGGGCTGGTCACTTTCCTTTGTTCTGCCTCCGTTTCCCCTTCCTCCCTTTCTCTGTTTTGTCTGCTGGGACTGGTGGCTATCAGGGGGTTGCACTGCATGTTATGTGTATGTTTGGTGCCCCTATTTGCAGGACTTGTAGTTATCCAGCAGCAATGAAGGTGGCATATGGCACTAGAGACAGATATTTAGGTCCTATTTGCATTCACCTCTCCCATGTGCTTGGGCAGAGTTAAGTGATACAGGCTTTGGCTGGGAGCTTCAATTCACTGTTCTCAATCTAAGGCACTAGTGTGTTTAATAGCTGTTCTGTGGGATGCCCACTTTGCTGCTTTCTCCTTCTTCCTACTCAGCAAGTGAACAGAAATACATTTCAGTGGAGAGACTGGGTTCAGATTTTACTGTTATTAGACTGTACTGATGTTCCCATCAAGTTTCGATCAAAGATACCAGTCTGGAAAAATCAGACATTTACTGTTTTAATTATATCAAAGAAACAGCAAAGATTAAAAATCTTCTGGGGAGGTTTTTTACTCTTGAAAGAAAACCTGGACATTGGAAAACTCAACAGATTGGCTTTCCTCAATTTATTTGAACACGTTTCAGATTCTGGTGATTTGGCTGAATTTTTTCTGGTCCTTATTGAAAGAAAACAAAAGTTTGGATTTCACAATTTCTAAGACAAGTCAACTGCTGGTTGCTGGCAGGAAAAACAGAACAAAAACCCAAAACCCTCAAAGCAGCTGGAAATGTTTCAGTAAATACATGTAAAAGGTCATTCCCTTGTCACTCCCAGTTGCATTATGAAATCTGTCTAGGACATTAACATCAAACCCTGTTGGATTGAAAGAACAGACTTACTGTGCCGGGCGTTGCGGGATGCTCCCAACCTGTGCTGCACCAGACACGTCACTGCCGGGATTCAGCCCTTATTGCTGAACATTGTCTGTGAACAATGCCCCTTCACTGAGTTATCCAGCAGCTGGTTCCTGGACCCTCCACTGTATTCCCTCAACTCAGGCAGGCTTAGCTGAGAGGGGAAAGACCAAACGGGAGGGGAGTAGAAAGTCCTCTCACCCTGGAGCTGAGGAAAGGATCCTGGCACATTCAAGCAGCAAACATGGTGACAACTCCGGACGTCCCTGCTGCGGGGCTAAATGGCTGAACTTGGTCTCGAGGCCGAAGAGCCCAGCTCTGATGTCACCTGCGGAGCAAACTTCCCTGTCGCTCTGCCCTAGCTGACCCAGACAAACAGAGAAGAACACAACATGCGCCAGACCTCACACAATGGCAGCATCCCTTGAAGGACCCTGGCTATCAACAAGGCAGGACTCAGGAGTTATTAGAAGGAGATTGCAGAAGAAACTATTTATGTCTAGAATGGGCATGTGACAGAGAACAGCCCAGAGCTGACGGGCACCAGGGCCTCATCTAACCTAGGACAGACTGCTCCTTCAATATCTCCACAGAAGGCGCTCTGGGAGAGCAGAGATTTTTTTTTTGTGTCCTGTGTTTCATCAGCCACTCTCGGCATGCAGCCCCCAGAGGATCCCGCAGCTCAGGCTGCCCCTCTGTGGGATATTGGTCTCAAAGAAGCAGCCGACGGGAAACTCAGTGCAACGTCGTAAACCGATGTCAGTTGATACAGTTTCCAAGAACTCCAATTAATTAGGGCTTGTCAAGTGGAAATTTAGCCCTTTGGTTTCGATGGAGCTTTTTTGAGCCTCACCAGCTGGCGATTGGTCCCATTCTTTGGTCTCACTCCATATTCCTTGCCTGTGAAACTGAATTGAAGGTGAGAAAAAAAGTTCCCAGTCTGTCACCATTGTTTTAGTTCTGTGCCACATGGGATTCATTGCAGGGTGTAACTTGTAATGGCTAAAAAGTGATTCATTCCCAATGGGGACCGAACATTGCAGGAATTCAGTGTGGCTAAGATTTTCTCTAGCTTATTTTCTATTTCTTTTTGGTTGAACTTTCCTTCCTTCCTTCCTTCCTTCCTGTTATTGTGGATGACACTGATCTAAAAGGCTCATTGGGTTGCAGATGCAATTCGTCATGACATCCTGAAACTGATCAGTTCATATTGGTGGTAGGTATGTCAGAGACCCTGAATATATTTGTAGGGCCAAGACCCTACTCGGTATAAGACACACGTTGCTCCATTGGACTTAATATGGTCAAATCCATTCTTCCCACATCTTCTCTTCTGTGTTCCAGGAGTGAAACCCCACTTGGTAAAAGGTTAAATTCAGCCCTATTGTAAGCAGGTTCAATTCCACTGAAGTCCATGTGTCTGGTGTCAGGTGAAATCAATGAGCAGCTATGTTGGTTTTCTCCAGCGGGGACATAACAAACGATCCATCTCTAACACACTTATTTATTTACTACTAGAAGATTAACCCAGCGTTACTCACAGGCTGTGTCTACATTGGCATGATCTTGCACAAAAGCAATTGCTTTTGCGCAAAAACTTACTGCCGGTCTACACTGGCCGCGAATTCTTGCTCAAGAACACTGACGTTCTAATGTATGAAATCAGGGCATCTTGCACAGGAACTATGATGCTCCTACTCAGGAATAAGCCCTCTTGTGCAACTGTTCTTGTGCAAGAGGCCAGTGTAGACAGGCAACATGAATTTTTATGGTTAAAATGGCCATCAGAGCTTTCTTGCACAAGAGAGCATCTACACTGGCATGCATGCTCTTGCACAAAAGCATATCTCTTGCGCAAAGGCACATGCCAGTATAGACTCTCTTCAGGAAGAGTTTTTGCACAAGAACTCTTCCGCAAAAGAGGTCTTGTGCAAAATCATGCCAGTGTAGACGTAGCCGCATAGTTCAGGACAGGGTGTGGTGGAATGGGGGTGGGGAGGCAGGAGTCATTGTTTTGGGGAGTGGTGAGGAGCTCAGAATAAGGGGCGGGGGATGTGGGGGAGTGCAAAAACCCACTGGGGCTCTGGTACACTTCAAAGGCTGAATGCAGAAGTGCTTCTCGACTAATCCCATCGACTATTCACTTAGTTGACTAATTGAAATGTAACACCCCTTAGGAGCAGGCTGAGGTTTGGGGGGTGCAGAAGTCAGGGTTGGCGGTTGAGTGGGGTGAGGGTAGGGGTCTGAGTGGAGGATGCTGGAATCTGGGTTTTGGAGTGGGAAGGGGCTTATGGCAGGGGATAGATATGGGGGAGATGGAGACAGGTTTGGCGGTGAGGAAGGCCTCAGGGCAGGCACGTGTGTGTGTTTCTGGGGGGGAGGAAGAGCCGATGGGACTGCTGGACATGGCGGGGCTGTGCCTAGCACAGGGAAGCAGTTCCTCTGGCCTGGGGGTGGCTCCCTGAAACTTGCAGTGACTGGGGGATGACACAGGGCTGGCCATATGGGGACCTCGTGTCCTTGGGGGCAGGCAGGCGGCTTCCCTGCACCCATTGCTCCTGCTGCCCCAATGTGATTATAATTGCCCCAATTCCTGTGAGTGACTCCTTGCTACCTCAGCTGACCTCTTCACAGGGAATGTGCTGCATTGAAACGGTGGAGGTCTTGACATTTGATTCCAGTCTGGTATGGAATTAACCCAAGGTCATTCCATGTTGCGGGGCTAGCGTTAGTCCCTAGTTCTGCACTCGCGGACGGCTGTGCCATCCCTCTGCCTTCCCGCTCTTGTGTCTGGCACCTTGGCACACTCAGCGCCTAGGGACACATGCTCACAACGGGCTCGTCAGTCATAGAATCATAGAATCCCAGGGCTGGAAAAGACCTCAGGAGTCATCCAGTCCAGCCCCCTGCCCAAAGCAGGACCAACCCCAACTCAATCAACCCAGCCAGGACTTTGTCAAGCCAGGACTTAAAAACCTCTAGGGATGGAGATTCCACCCCCTCCCTAGGGAACCCAGCCCAGTGCTTAACCACCCGCCTAGGGAAATAGTTTTTCCTAATATCCAACCTAGACCTCCCCCACTTCAACTTGAGCCCATTGCTCCTTGTCTCCACTGAGAACAGCCTCTCTCCATCCTCTTTGGAACTTCCCTTCTGGAAGTTGAAGGCTGCTTTCAAATCCCCGTTCCACTGGACCCTCCCCAATGTGTCCACATCCTTTCTGTGTGTGTGTGGGGGGGGGGGCAGAATTAAATGCAACACTCCAGATGTGGCCTCCCCAGAGCCAAATAAAGGGGAATAATCACTTCTCTAGATCTGCTGGCAATGCTCCTCCTAATGCTCCCCAATATGCCATTAGTCTTCTTGGTGCACTCATATCCAGCTTCTCATCCACTGTAACCCCCAGGTCCTTTTCTGCTGAACTGCTACTTAGCCAGTCAGTCCTAGCCTGTACCAATGCTTGGGATTCTTCCGTTCGATGTGCAGGACTCTGTATTTGTCCTTGTTGAACCTCCTCAGATTTCTTTTGGCCCAATCCTCTAATCTGTCCAGGTCACTCTGGACCCTACCTCTGCCTTCCAACGTATCTACCTCTGCCCCTAGTCCTCAGATACATTAAATCTGGACCCATGGATTTGTGTCTGTCTAGCGTTTCTAAATACTTAACCTGTTCTTCCTCCACCGAGGGCTTTCCACCTGCTTCCTGTACTGTGTCACTGGTGCAGCAGTCTTGGAGCTAACTTTTTCTGTGAAGACAGAGGCAAAAAAAAGCCTTGAATACTTCAGCTTTTCCAACAATAAATAGAGGTCCCACATCTTCTCTGACCACCTTCTTATTGCTAATATGCCTGAACAAATCTTTTCTTTTTACATAAGAACATAAGAACATCCCTTCTCATCCCTTGCTAGCTGAAATTCCAGTTGCCCTTTGGCCTTCCTGATTATACCCTATATTCTCAAGCAACATATTTATACCTCTCCCCCCCCCAGTCTTCAGTCCTAGTTTCCACTCCTTATAAGCTTCGTTTTTGTGTTTAAGTTCACGAAGGATTTTCCTTGGAATTCAATTTGGTCACTTGCCATATTTGCTTTTCTTACTGTGCATCGGGATGATTTCGTCCTGCGCCTTCAATAAGGCTTCTTTAAATTATTGCCAGCTCTCCTGCACTCCAGGGGATCCTGCCCATCTGTTCTCTGTGGGAGTCAAAGTCTTCCCCAGACTTCAGTGTCAAAGTCGGAGGGAAGGGCTTGCGGAGTGTGATGCTTCTCAGAGGGCAGGTGTGTGAAGTCTTCACCTGACATGTTCCAGCTGCTCCATTGCACCTTTGAAGGGTAAAGCTGCCCTAGAGCAGTCTTAGGGCCAGTGACGTAGGGCCGGTCTACACTGTGAACTTGCGACGGTGGAGCTGCACTGTGGTAGTGGCTACACTGTTACATTTCTGTGGATTGGGGGGTGGGCACTTCTGATGGATTTGATGAGCGTAGGTTGGGTTTTTTTCTCAAGGCTTGCTCAAAGTCCTTGGGAAGTGTACACTAATGGGAATCTGGGCTCCTGGCTGGAATTTCAAAGTATTTCAGAGTATTGTAAGGCTGTTAGTGCACTAGAATTTAATTTAAAAAACCCCTCTATTTGGGCCCAGACCCTGAAAGAATTTGGTGTGAGTAAATCCCATGGGACTGAAACCATTGCTACCAGCCTTCTTAGTCCCTTTGAGCAATAGCAGTACTTTAAAACTGTATGTCTAATTGAAATAAGCCCAGTTTAACATCACTTCCTTATTGCTAACTCCTCTTCCCCCCAAAAAAGCTCTAAACCCTACATTTAGGTTTCGGCGCTTGATGGGTCTTCACTCATATTTAAAATTAAGCATTGGCTTATGAGGTCTTTTAGATATTATTTACTATAGTATGTATTAATTGGTTTTTAAATAAATGGAAAAGAGAGAACACATGCTTATAGAGGGATCTAGTTGCGTTTTTCATCCGAAAAAGGAGACACAGCAGAAACTTCATGTAGTCCGACCTAACCATGGCTTTTGGCTATTCTGTGCACCATGCTCAGCTAGCACAGTGAGGTTTACCATCCAAACCCCTAAGACAAGAGAGATAGGTGAGCAGGAAGATCTATGGCGAGATACTAAGATTCTAATTTTATTTACAGTAGTATAATTCTAAATTAACACCACGTCACTGGAGTTAGATCAGATTTAATTAATTCATAAAAAGTTTGCAGCCTGTGTTCTTCTGGAGATAACTTTGTCATCACTGATTGTAAATCAATTCAGAAGGAAATCACAGTCAAGGAGCGATGATGCATATTTTAATTTTTGGTGAATAAAATGGACACAATCAGTTTCTTCAGTGCAGCTTTGATCTCCTTGTTCCTCATGCTGTAGATGACCGGATTCATCATGGGAGGCACCACAGCATAGAGAACACCCACCACGAGATCCAGATTAGATGCTGAGCTGGAGGTGGGTTTCAGGTGCTCAAATAAGGCAGTGGAAAGTAACAGAGAGACCACAGCGAGGTGGGGGAGGCAGGTGGAGAAGGCTTTGTGCCGGCCCTGCTCCGAGGGGATTCTCAGCACCGCTTTGAAGATCTGCACATATGATACAACGATAAAAACAAAGCACTTTAAAGCTAATAAGGTACTAAAGGCAAGAAGCCCAACTTCACTGAGGTAGGAGTCGGAGCAGGCCAGCTTGAGGAGCTGGGGGATTTCACAGAAGAACTGGTTGATGTCATTAGACTGGCAGAGGGGTAACCGGAAGGTGTTCCCGGTGTGCAGGGTAGAGTTGACAGCACCAGCAACCCAGGCACTGGCTGCCAGTTGGATACAGGCTCCCCTGTTCATCACTCTCTCGTAGTGCAGCGGCTGGCAGATGGCAACGTGTCGGTCATAGGCCATGACAGTGAGTAAGGCAAGATCAGTTGAAGAGAAGTCTAAAAAGAGAAAGACTTGGGCGACACAGGCAGGGTAGGAAATCTTCCTGGTGTCCATGAGGGAGTTGACCATAGATTTGGGGACAGTGACAGAGATGGAGCCGAGGTCTAGGAGCGACAGATTCACTAGGAAGAAGTACATGGGGGTGTGAAGACGGCGGTCAAGGGCTACGGCTGAGATGATGAGAAGATTCCCCACCAGGGCTGCCAGATAAATAACCAGAAACACCACAAAGTGCAAAACCTGCAGCTCCCGAATGTCAGAGAATCCCCGGAGCAAGAATTCGGTGACGATGCTTTGGTTGGACATTTTCTTCTTCAGTTCCTTGTGTGGTGGCTGTGGAGAGAAGGACACAGACAGGGGTGGAGGTTGGAGTGATACATTCAATAGACCCGATTCCCTTTGGAAATGTCTCATGAGGTGCGTTTCTATGATGCCCAGCACGCGTCCCAGCTATTCACGAGGGTTGGTGAGTTACCACATGGGTTTCAGTTGGCCTGGCTCCTGGAAAGTCTGTAGAGCTGCCTCCATTTGCACCATGTGAAGATCGGGCTTAGGACGGGACTGGATAAAATTCTGTGTGAAGGATGGAGCAAAGCACAATCCCAACACAACAGCGCTCGCTGATATAGATCCCCTCTTGCTACAAACAGCAGGCTGTGGACACGGGTATGAAACTACAATGCCTGAAAACCGTGGCATCATGATTCCATTGTAGTACCGCATAGACGTCCTGCTGACCCTGCAGTGATTTATGACCCAAAATGCCACTTCCCACTCTGTGTACGAATTGGCTAGTAACGCCTCTCAGCGCCCTCTACTGAGTCATTGCTTTAGCCACTTCCTGCCTGTGCAGACCAGTAGCTTTTGGGAGACGTAGATTCTAGTCTTGTCTCTGTCACTCACCGGGGTTAATTTGGGCTTTTCTCTTGCCCCCTCTCTCTCCCGTGCTTCTGTTTCCCCAGCCTTCCTTTTCTGTGCTTTGCCTGCTGGGCCTATTGGCTATCTGGGTGACTGTGTGTTATGTGTGTGTTCGGTACTCCTATTTGCAGCAGTTGTAATTGGTTGGCACCAGCAGAGAGGGCAAATAGTGTTAAAGCCAAATATCTACGTTCTAAGTACATGGACATCCTCTCTCTGCTTGGGCAGTGTTAAGACAGACGGGCTTTGGCTAGGGGCTTCAATTCACACTTCCCCATCCAAGGCATTTCTACAGTTAATACAAGCATTGTGGGCTGCCATCTGTGCTATTTCCTGAGTCTTAATGTTTGATAAGTATCCCTTGGGAAAAAAAACATTACACAGATTGCATTCAGATTTTACTATTGTTCGACAATCCTAATGTTCCCACTTGCATTTTATCTAATTTGACAGTCTGAGATAATCTGACATTTGCAGTTGAAATTATATCCAAAAACACTGGGGTTTCAACTCAAAAGATCTTCTAGGAAAGCCTATTACCAGTGAATTACAACCTTGTATTACTTGAAAGCTCAAAACCTGACATTTCACTTTCCAGCTGTTTACTTGGGGATGTCTCATTTTTAATGATTGAAAACAGATTTCCACGAAAAGTTAACTCTTCTCTACTGGGAGGAAAAGAACAAACCTCCATGCAGCTGGAAATGTGTCAGTACATTTCCATAAAAAGTCATGAAAAGTTCCCTTGTCACTCCCAGTTGCATTCGGAAATCTACCCAGGGCATTAACATTGAATCCTGTTGGATTGAAATAACAGACTTACCGTGCCGGACTTTGCAGGATGTTTCCCAGACTGTGCTACAACACACTTCACTGCCGTCATTGCCCACCTGTGTGAATAATGACTCTTCACTGGGTTATTCAGCAGTTGGTTCCTTGCCTTTCCACTATATTTTCCTATCTGAGGCAGGCTGAAGGACTAAAGAGGATTGGAGCAGAAAGAGCCTCTCACCTCTGCCGTAGCTGTGAAACTGCTTCTGCCTTGCTCAGGCTGCGAACATGGTCACAAGTCAGACTGTGTCTCCTTTGGGGCTGAGTAGCTGAATCCCGTTTCCAAGACTTTGAGCCCAGCTCTGATCTCACCTCTGCAGCAAACCGCCCTGTCGTCCTGCCCTACACGTGCTTGACCCTCAAAAGGGGAACAAGAGGTTCCTTGGATCTCACGCCATGGCTACATCCCTGGAAGGACGCTGGCTACACCCAAGGCAGAGCTGAGGAGCTGTGGGAAGGAGGTTGCGGAATAAGCTTCATATTATTAGCAGAGCCATGTGACAGAGAACAGCCCAGAGCCGAGGTGCACCAGAGCCCCAGCTGGCCTGGAGCAGCTTGGTCCTTTATTAACCTCACACACTCCACTCTGGGAGAGCGGAGATGTTTTGTCTTCTGTGTTGCATCAGCAGCTCTTGGGATGCAGCCACCAGGAGATCCTATAGCTCGGGCTGCCCCGGGTGTTTGATGTAGCTCACTAGGAAGCAGCCAAAGGAAAACTCAATGGAACGTCCTAAACTGACGTCACTTGATACAGTCTCCTTGAATTCTGAGTAATTTGGATTTGTCAAGTGGAGATTCGGCCCTTTGATTTCACGGGATCTTTCAGTGACATCAGCTGGAGATTGGTCCCATTCTTCGGTTGCAATCCATATGCTCTTCCTGTGAAACTGAACTGAAGACGAGAGAAAACTTCCCAGCCTGTCGGCACTCTCTCACTTCTGCGCCATGTGGGAATCATTGCAAAGTGTAACTTAAAATGGCTAAGGAGCAATTTATTCTTGCTGGGGACCAAACTTTGCAGAAATTGCATGTGGCTAAGATTCTCAATAGCTTATTTTCTATTTCTGTTGGGATGAATGAACCAACCAACATTTTAATGTCATACACACTGAATATATTGGTAGGGTCAGCTCCCCAGTTAGTATAAAACACATGTTGCTCCATGTGACTCCATGGATTCAGATCCATTCCCCCCACACTTTGGCTTCAGTTTTCTAGGAGTGAAAACCTACTTGTTACAAGGGTAAATTCAACACTGTTGCAAGCACTTTCAAGTCCATGTGTCCAAAGTCAACAGGGATTTGACATTATTGAAGTCAAAGAGCTAAGAACGGCCATACTGGTTCATCTTGCCCAAAATCTTGTCTTCCTACGGTGGCTAATCCCAGATGTCCCAGAGGAAGGAAACACAAGGGATAATCCTCAAGAGATGGTTACCTTCTCCAGCAAGGACATGAATCCATCATGACAAATAATCCTTCTGTAAGAAACATGTCTATGTACTACCAGAAGATTAACCCCAAACTGCTCACATCCCTCAGGATGAGGTTCTGCGGGCATGAGTAGGCTGTGCTGGGCAGAGGGCAGCAGTTCCGTGGGGCTGGCTGGATAAGCAATGGGGTGGGAGTAGCTCTCCAGGCCTTGCAGTGGGTGGAGGAGAGCTCCTCAGAGCTGGCCATGCCAGCCCCTTGTTTCCTTGGGGGCAGGAAGGATGCTTACTTGCACCCATGCGTGTTTCTGCCTCCCTGTGGCCAAGACACAGTATAATTGTCCCTGCGAGCAGCCTCCTCCCTTCTGATGCTCACTTTTATACAAACATTAGTAGAAGTCAACCCCTTTTGCTTTCTGTTTTATAAATATTATAAAAAATAACTAATTCAGATTCATATCTGCCCAATTATGTTGTTTGTTAGATTATAGAGTCTTTAATACATTAAGACTAAAAAGTTAAGAAACTTTATAAATTTAACATTGCATTAGTCTAGTTTTCACATGTTCTATCTTAGCCAGCCAGCCAGAATACTTTTTGGCATTAACATGCTCCTATATATTCATGTCAAATTAAGCTAAAAATATTCTTATTAAAACTCCAACACATGAGGAGGGATCCATGAAGAGAAGACTTGGGCTGCTAAATTCCAGACTTAGGTGCCTAAGTTCCAGTTTCAGCTCCACTGCAATCCACAAGACTTGTCAAATACCTTTGTCTACACTACCACCCTAGTTCGAACTAGGGTGGTAGTGTAGACATACCCGAAGTGTTTTGCGGACGAGTTCTTGCACAAAAACTTCTTGCACAAAAGCACATCCACACCCCAAAGCGCATGGATTCTGCATGGACACGCTTGCACAAGAAAGCTCTGAATCACAGAATGGCCATCAGAGCACCTGTGCTTTTTCCAATAGGGTCTTTTGTGTCAGAAACCCCTGTAGGGCATCCACACATGCCTTTTGTTGCTGTAGAACAAAAAGGAGTTATACCTCGCAGAAGGAGGCTTACCTACCCCAGCGAAAGACCTCTGTTCTGCCGATTGAGGGTATGTCTAGACTACATGGCTCGGTCGACGGAGCCATGTAGATTTGTTTACTAGGCATAGGGAAATGAAGAGGCAATTTAAATAATCACCGCTTCATTTACATGTAAATGGCTGCCACGCTGTGCCGATCTGCTGTTTGTCAGCATAGCGCGATAGTCTGAACACTCCACGGTCGACATCAAAGCCCTTTGTTGACCGCTCTGGTAAACCTCATCCCACGAGGCATAACGGGGCGGTTGACAAATGCCTTTGATGTCAACGGGGGAGTGTCAAGACTATCGTGCTGTGCCGCCAAACAGCTGATCGGCTCAGCGCAGCAGCCATTAAAATTTAAACGAAGCGGCGATTATTTAAATCGCCACTACATTTCCCTATGCCTACGACCCTAATCTACATGGCTCTGTCGACGGAGCCATGTAGTCAAGACACACCCTGACTGTAGATTTTCTTGAGCAAAAATGCTCTTGATGCGTGGACACTCCGGGGGCAGGGGGGGGGGAGGTGTGGTACAAAAACCTTGTAGTGTAGACGTAGCCTAATATGTGAGCGTGGGATAGAGTGAAGGGCATCTCAGAGCAGGAAGTGGGGGCGTGGGGTCATTTGGGATCTGAGGACAAGAGGCTGGGATGTGTGAGGGAGCTGAGGACAGGAGCTGCAGTTCTATGTGTGGGGTGCAGGAGTCGGGGCAGCGGATTGGGCATTTAAGACAAGTGAGGGGAGTATAGGACTCCAGGGATGAGGGCTGAGGGGAGGTGTGGGGGAATGCAGGAGTCAGGACAGGGGGGTTGGGCGAAGCTCAGAACAGGAGGTTTGGTGCATGCGTGGGGGAGTTCCAGTCAGGAGGTGAGCAGAGGAGCGTGGGCTTTGAGTGAAGCCAACATCCTACCCAGCTGCCAGATCCCTGTAACAGCAGTAACCGTATTGCCCAGCTCTTGGAGAGTTCATATCCACAGCACAAGAGCTTTTTTGTGACGGTACTGCCCTCCGTACCCACACCTCCAGACGCAGTACTGGCACCTCCACTCAGAGCTTACATGGAAAGAACGGAGGGTACCTGTGAATGCAAATGTCTGACAGTTGGGTGGGCAGTGTCTTAAATGGCAATGCCAGATCTACCCCATTTTTTTTTTGCTCAACAACTTTTTCCCCTAAAGTGCTGGAGGTAGGTACCTGGCCAAGCGAGAGGCTGGGTCTTGGCAGGGGTCTTGGCAGGGCAGTGAGTGAGGGGTTGGGAGGGGGTCTCAGCAGGGAGGTGAGTGAGAGGCTGTGGGTGTGGGGTTGCTGCAGTTGTGGGACCTCTGCCCCCGAGTGGGAGTTGCCCTCCCTGGCCCTGGCATAAACCTGGCAGAGCTCTTTGACTTTCATTCGCACCTGTTCGTGGGTACGGACGTGTCCTTTTGTGGCCAGGCTGTCGGCCAGCCGACCATAGACATCCCCATTACTGCATCTGGTGTGGAGATCCTGCAGGTGGGTTTCACCCCCCCCACATCTCAGTAAGGTCCAGGATCTCCGCACCACACCAGGAACATGCACATCATTTCCAGCCCCTGGAAGGCTCCTGAGAGCTGTCTGACTACTCCCGGGAGCCGTGGAGGGCTGGGTACCAGCTGCAAACTGGCTCATGTTAGGGGTACAGTGAGTCAGGGGGAGCTGCAGGGTGGCTCAGGGCTGTCAGGTCAACTGCGAGCCAAAAACCCCATCTGCAGAGGCTGCGGCTTTAAGGGCTCCAGGGGAGGGAGAGGGAATAGAGTGGACAGAGCGGCCAGGACGACACCCTGTCAAGGGCTGGAGACCCTCTATTCTGAAATAGCCCCTATTCCCTGTCTACACGGCCCCTATTCCAGAATCGCTCTTTCGGAATAGGTGTCATTCTTCGTTGACTGAGGTTTTCAGAAGCCAGAGTAAACTGTCCATTATTTCGAAATCATTTCGGAATAGCAGCATTGCTGTGTGGACACTCGCTTAGTTTATTTTGGAAGAACGGTCACCATTCCAAAATAACTTTGCTGTGCAGACACATCTTAAGTGGCTGAGGAAGTGGGAAACAGAGGCAACACACGGGCATTTGAGAGAGAGGCACTGGGACGAAGGAGCCAGTGGGCGATGGCCCCACCATTTTTAAAAGTGGGGAGTTTTGGAGCAGTGGGCGGCTCAAGGCAGGACCGTGACATGATGGGAGGTGGTAGGAGAGGACTTCAGGGGTTGGGGGATGCGGATGCGTGGGGCCACATTTCATGCGCTTGTAGCCCCCTGCTGCTAGGGAACTTCTGTCTTCTCTGGTTTGACAAGGAGTTTGTAGGACAGCTGGGGTGTGTCTAGACTACAGGGCTTTGTCGACAAAAGTGGACTTTTGTCGACAAAACTATACCTGTGTCCACACTGCCTTTGAGTTATGTCAACATAACGTCGACAAAACTCAGAAGTTTTGTCGACGTATGTAAACCTCATTCTATGAGGAATAACGTCTTTTGTCGGCAGAGTTATGTCAATAGAAGGCATTATTGCATCTACACTGTCCTTTGCGTCTACACTGTTATGTCGACAAAGCGGCTTGCTTTGTTGACAGAACTGGCTGTAGTCTAGACGCTCTTTGTCAACAGAAGCTTAGTCAACAGTATCTGTTGACAAAACTTCTGTCAACAAAACCCTGTAGTCTAGACATACCCCTGGTGTCTGCATTTCCATCCTAGAAAACCAGGCTGGGGACACCATCCAGCGTGAGAGGCGCATACTGGTGGAATCTCCCAGGCAGTGGGCAGAAAGGAAGGAGGTTGGTTGAGCACCATCCATGCCCAAGAGATGTTCATTGAAAACAGGTCTGTGAAGACCTCTGAGGCTGAGGACGCCACCTAGCTACATAGGATGGCAGCAGCACCACCGGGGAAGAGTAAATGGCTCCATTAGAGCTCGGAAGTATTTATTTATTGAAATTAAAAAAAATTATTACAAATAATCAGTGGGGTTTTTTGTAACAAAAAGAAGTGCCGATGCTAGGGTTGCCAATGGTTTTGTTGAACAAAACAAACAAAAACGCCAGGGAAAACTTAGAGCAAAAAATAAACAAAGCAGTCGTGGCCACTTTAATTGCCGCTTCCAGGGCCGGCTGAGGACTGTGTCTGAGAAAAGCGGCAAGTGCTCCCAAAAAAAGGTGACGACACCATACCGGTGTGTACCATCACAAAAAAACCCACTGCAAATAATTATAGAAGGATCCTAACACATCATACACATGACAGTAACATTCCATGAGAATGAAACTGATCCTTTAAATAGCAGCTGTCTACAAATCTGTAGGAACTTTTTTTTTTTAATTCTTCATCATTGGGAAAAGAAAATGTCATACCCACCTTGTAAATTCCAAAAGTCACCTGGAGCTAAGAAACAAGTCAACCAATGAATCAGGAAAATGAAACAATGGAAAAAGAAACAATGACGCAAACAAAGTCAACCCTCTCATATACCATCCACAGTTGTGATCCCCTAAAATAAGGCAAAGTGACCAAAAGTAATTTAAGCTCGTTACTGACATAGCTATGGCTGTTGATGTCCTTTGCAATATGCTCAGAAAACATGGTTCCATTACCAGTAGAAATCCCTTAGACAGATAGACAGAGGGGTGTGTAGGAATATTTACAGCTAGCCACATCGATTCGGATCTTACTTACACAGGTGTGATACAAAATTAACTCATTTAATGCCAGGGTCATTAATCTGGTGCATCCGATCTTCTCAGGGAGATAATTTGTCATTACAGCATTTGATTAGCTCCATAAAGACGCTCAGAATGAAACTGCAGTCAAGGCACAATGACAGACACTTTAATTGTTGGTGAACAACCTCCACACGACCAGTTTCTTTAAGGCAGCTTTGAGCTCCTTGTTCCTCAGGCTGTAGATGACGGGGTTCATCATGGGAGGCACCACGGCGTAAAAAACACCCACCATCAGATCCAGAGTTGATCCTGAGCTGGGGGTGGATTTCAGATAATTAGACATGGAAGTGAAAATTGACAAGGAGACCACAGCGAGGTGGGGGAGGCAGGTGGAGAAGGCTTTGTGCCGGCCCTGCTCCGAGGGGATTCTCAGCACCGCTTTGAGGATCTGAACATAAGACACAATCATCAAAACAAAACAGATGAAAACTAAGGATAAGCTAATGGCAAGAAGCCCAACTTCACTGAGGTAGGAGTCGGAGCAGGCCAGCTTGAGGAGCTGGGGGATTTCACAGAAGAATTGGTTGATGACGTTGGACTGGCAAAACGGTAACCGGAAAGTGTTCCCGGCCAGCTTGAGGAGCGGGGGGATTTCACAGAAGAATTGGTTGACGACATTGGACTGGCAGAAGGGTAACCTGAAGGTGTTCCCAGAGTGCAGGGCAGAGTAGACAATACCAGTGATCCAGGCACTAGCGGCCATGTTAACACAAGCTCTCCTGTTCATCACTCTCTCATAGTGCAGCGGGTGGCAGATGGCGACGTATCGGTCATAGGCCATGACAGTGAGCAAGACAAAATTAGCTGCAAGGAAGGCTACGGAGAAAAAGACTTGGGCGACACACACAGGATAGGAAATTAACCTGGTGTCCAGGAGGGAGTTGGCCATGGATTTGGGGACAGTGACAGAGATGCAGCCGAGGTCTGTAAGGGACAGGTTCCCCAGGAAGAAGTACATGGGGGTGTGCAGACGGTGGTCGAGGATGATGGCTGAGATGATGAGAAGATTCCCCACCAGAGTTGCCAGGTAAAGTACCAGGAACAGCACAAAGTGCAGAATCTGCAGCTCTCGGACGTCAGAGAAGCCCAGGAGCAGGAACTCGGTCACGGTGCTTCGGTTGGACATTTCCTCCCTCAGTTCACAGTGTGGTGGCTGCGGAGGGAAGGACACAGGGGTGTGAATTAGAGTGATACAGGATACGGACCTGATTCCCCACAGCAATTGCTTATTCTGTGGCTGTCCGCGATGCCTAGTGTCCGTCCCAGTTCTCACTGGGGGTGGTGGGTTACCGCACGGATGTCAAATGGCCAGGCTCCCATACAGGCTATGGAGCTGCATCCATTTGCAAAATTTGAAAATCTGGGAGTGGCTGAGGGTGGCTCAGGTTGAGGCTGGATACAATGGTCTATGAAGGATAGAGCAACGCACAGTTCCAACACAACAGCTCCAGCTAAGACGGATCCCCTGTTGCTACGAGCAGCAAGCCCTGGGCACGGGCATGGAAGCAAAATTCCAACAGTGCCTGAAAATCACTTTCTGGGGAAACAAGACTCACAGTGACTTAGCGCCCCGCATGGGAGCTCATCTATCAAATTTCTTTGCATGGTCACATGTCCGTCCTGCAGCCCAGTTTCGATCAAAGATGCCAGTCTGGCAAACTCAGACGTTTTGGGTACGTCTAGACTGCAAGCCTCTTTTGAAAAAGAGCGTCTAGACTACGACCGGTACTTTCAAAAAAACAAGCCGCTTCTTCGAAAGAGCACGCAGGCAGTCTGGAATGCACAGTTTACATTACATAGTGCCTTTTTTCAAAAGTGCACTTTCTAAAATAGTCGTTATTCCTCATAAAACGAGGGTTTCCACAGTCGAAAAAACTGCCGCGTTCTTTCGACTTACTTTTGAAAGAACATGCAGTGGTCTAGACGCAGGGGGAATTTATTCAAAACACACCCTTTCTGTTTAAATTATATCAAAGAAACATTTAAGGATTCTACTAAAAAAAGAATTCTGTGGAGGTCTGTTACTCTTGAAAGAAAACTTGGGCATTGGAAAACTCATCACATCTGTTTTCTTTAATTTACCTGAACATGTTTTAGTTTCTGGTGATTTTCTAGACTACAACTGGAACTTTCGAAAAAGCAGGCTGCTTCTTTGAAAGAGAGCACCCAGGCAGTCTGGATGCTCTCTTTTGAAAAAGCACAGTTTGCATTACATAGCGCCTTTTTTCAAAAGAGCACTTTCTAAAAAAGGCATTCTTCCTGATAAAACGAGGTTTTCCGCGGTCGAAAAAATTGCCGCATTCTTTTGATTTACACAGCAGCAGTCTAGACGCAGGGGAAATTGTTTTGAAATAAGGACACTTTTTTCAAAAAAAAAACTGTAGTCTAGATACACCGTTTCTGTTTAAATTATATCAAAGAAACATTAGAGATTCTACTAAAAAAAAACATGTCTGTGGAGGACTGTTCCTCTTAAAAGAAAACCTCAGCACTGGAAAACTCATCACATGTGTTTTCTTTAATTTACCTGAACATGTTTTAGTTTCTGGTGATTGGCTAAATATTTTAGTTCTTATTGAAGAAAAACAAAAGTGTGGTTTTCACAGTTTCTAAGACAAGTCAACTGTTGGTTGCTGACAGGAAAAAAAAAAACCCCTCGAAGCAGCTGGAAATGTTTCAGTAAACACAGATAACAAGTCGAGAAGATTTCCCCTTGTCACTCCCAATTTCATTATGAAATCTGCCCAGGTCATTCACACCTAACCCTGTTGGACTGAAAGAACAGACTTACTGTGCCGGGCGTTGCGGGATGCTCCCAACCTGTGCCTGTCTGTGAATAATGTCCCTGGGTTATCCAGCAGCTGGTTCCTGGACCCTTTACTGTATTTCCTCATCTCAGGCAGGCTTGGCTGAGAGGGGAAGGACCAAACAGGAGGGGCACAGAAAGTCCTCTCACCCTGCAGCTGTGGACAGGATCCTGGCACGTTCAAGCAGCAAATATGGTGACAACTCCGGATGTCCCTGCTCCGGGGCTAAGTGGCTGAACCCAATCTTGAGGCCGAAGAGCCCAGCTCTAATCTCACCTGCGGAGCAAACTTCCCTGTCGCCCTACCCTAGCTGACCGGGACGAACAGAGGGGCACACAACATGCCCCGGATGGCACACAATGGCAGCATCCTTGGAAGGACCCTGGCTCCCCCCAAGGCAGGACTCAGGAGCTATTGGAAGGAGATTGAAGAAGAAGCTATTTATGTCTAGAATGGGCATGTGACAGAGAACAGCCCAGAGCCGACGGGCACCAGAGCCCCATCTAGCCTAGGACAAACTGCTCCTTCAATATCTCCACAGAAGGTGCTCTGGGAGAGCAGAGATTTGTTTTTGCCTCCCGTATTTCATCAGCCCCTCTTGGCATGCAGCCCCCAGAGGATCCCGCAGCTCAGGCTGCCCCCGTGTTTGATATTGGTCACTAAGAAGCAGCCAGTGGGAAACTCAGTGCAACGTCGTAAACCGATGTCAGTTGATACAGTCTCCTTGAACGCTGAGTAATTAGGGCATGTCAAGTGGAGATGCATTCTCTTGATTTCTCTGGAGCTTTTTTGAGCTCCACCAGCTGGTGATTGGTCCCAATCCCTATTCTTTGCCTGTGAAACTGAACTTAAGATGAGAGAAAAGTTCCCAGCTTGTCTGCATTTTCTTAGTTCTGTGCCACATGGGATTCATTGCAGGGTGTAACTTGTAACATGGATTTTCCAAGGGCAAGTCCTTCCTGACCAATCTGATTAGGTTCTATGATGAAGTAATTGGCTCTGTGGATATGGGAAAGTCAGTGGAAGTGATATACCCTGACTTTAGCCAAGCTTTTGATACGGTCTCCCACAATATTCTTGCCAGCAAGTTAAGGAAGTATGGGTTGGATATCTGGACTGTAATGTGGTTAGAAAGCTGGCTAGATTGATTATTGGGCCCAACAGGTAATGATCAATGTCTCGATGTCTGGTTGGCAGTCGGTTTCTAGTGGAGTTGTGATGGACCGGGCTGGGTCTGGGCACTGATGAGGGCGTCAGCTCAGGGCAAATTGCTCAAAACCAGGGCTACTCACAGCCCTCGACTGGAGACCTTTCCCAAACAGACCGCAAATCAGTCACACCGAGCGCTTCAGCTGCCAACCTGGCCTGCAGGAAGCCTCACGAGCAAAAGACTGTAATGTGGTTAGAAAGCTGGCTAGATTGATTATTGGGCCCAACAGGTAATGATCAATGTCTCGATGTCTGGTTGGCAGTCGGTTTCTAGTGGAGTTGTGATGGACCGGGCTGGGTCTGGGCACTGATGAGGGCGTCAGCTCAGGGCAAATTGCTCAAAACCAGGGCTACTCACAGCCCTCGACTGGAGACCTTTCCCAAACAGACCGCAAATCAGTCACACCGAGCGCTTCAGCATGCAAATATATATGCAAATAGTTTCCTTCACACTGACGGGCATGAATACAAAGATTAAGGCAAGACTACACAGGCCCCATTTAAGTCAGTTCTGCTGGTATTAATACAATGCAATAGGGTTATAAAACCCGATCTCACCAACTCCAAACAGATCCTCCCAGTCCCAAAGAACCAGCCACAGTCCCCGGTCAATTTACACTTTAGATCAGGACTACTAAATATTGGAAGCCACAATGATACCTCACAGCACATGTGGAGGACCGCAACTTAAGTGTGGTTGCATTTGCATGCAAATATATATGCAAATAGTTTCCTTCACACTGACGGGCATGAATACAAAGATTAAGGCAAGACTACACAGGCCCCATTTAAGTCAGTTCTGCTGGTATTAATACAATGCAATAGTCCACCCATAGGACAGCTCTTTTAATGAGTAATGATAGTCCAAGAATTTAACTACTAAAACGTATCTCAACAGAAGACCATTATATTGACTACTTTTTTGTTTTGGCTCCTACCTATGGGATGCGTGTTGAGCCCCACGTAAACCCCAACTACACCGTGGGCCACAAACAGATGGGCCATGGCTCATGTGTTGAGTAGCTCTGCTTTAGCTCTTATCCACAAGAGCACGCTGGGCCAGTCCTTTAGAATCTAAAATCTAAAGAATTATTAACAAAAGAAAGAAAATGTTGAGAGTGAGATTGTTAAGGAGAATACTTCACAGACATCAATCACCAAGGGTGTGTCTAAACTACATGGCTCCATCGACAGAGCCATATAGATTAGGCTGATCAGCAAAGGGAAATGAAGCTGCAATTTAAATAATCACGGCTTCATTTAAATTTCAATGGCTGCCCCGCTCTGCCGATCAGCTGTTTGTCGGCAGATCGGGACAGTCTGGATGCTCCCCTGTTGACATGAAAGCCCTTTATCGACCTCCCCGATAAACCTCATCCTACGAGGTATAACGGGCAGGTCGATAAAGGGCTTTCAGGTCGGCGCGGGAGCATCCAGACTAGCGTGCTGAGCCAACAAACAGCTGATCATTTAAATTTGAATGAAGCCGCGATTATTTAAATCGCGGCTTCATTCCCCTCTGCCGATCACCCTAATCTACATGGCTCCATTGATGGAGTGAATCCTGGCCACAGTGCCTGTGCCAGCTCCAAGCCTGCCAGCCCAGAGCCAGCAGTGGCCACCGGGGCTCCTGACCCAAGTGGCCCCAAAACATGAGCCAGCAAGACACTGGCAGCCAGCCCTCCACCGCTCCCCGGGAGCAGTCTGCCAGCTCCCAGGAGCCTGACAGGGGCTGGAGAAGGCAGGCGCCTTCCTGGTCCAGGGTGGAGATCATGGACCTTATTCAGGTTTGGGGGGGATGCCCCCAACGTCCATGATCTCCGCACTAGATGGAGGAACGTGGCCGTCTATGGCAGGAGACTCCCAGGTTTCTCCCTCCCCTCTTCCACCTTCTCTCTTCCCCTCTCCCACCTCCTTTTCCCCCCCCCCCCCAGTTTTGTTCAATAAACCCAGTTTCTGTTCATGAAAATACGTGTCTTTCATTTGACATCAGGAAGGGGGGCTAGGGAGGGGTAAGTGGAAGGACATGAGGGAGGAATGGGGCAAAAGCCCTCGGTGGGGAGGACTGGGGAGTCTCTGAGGACTCTAAGGGGAGGACGCTCTCCCCCAGGGTCTCCTGGATCCTGACAGGCCCCCGTTGGACCCCCCGGATGGCAGCCTGCAGCAAGTGCAGCCGGGCTGATGGCAACGACCGCATGAGAGGCACCAGCCTGCCCAGGGGCAGTTCTGGCTCCATGTGGCCGAGTGCTGTGGTGTCCCGAGTGCAGGCACTCAGGGCACTCCAAGCCAGGACTGCTTTGCTGTCTCTCATCCAGGTAGACAAGCAAGTGGGGAACCCTGAGAACTGTCTGTCCGGGGTGGGGGTCGGGTCCCTTTAAGCACAGACCTCAGTTAGCCTCAGGCAGCAGGCCCACACACTAAGTCCTAATGTGATGCTCTGATGGCACTGGTTCTGGCCAGCCTTAACCTCGGTTCAGGGTCCCCTCAGTGTGGACGTGCTATTTCGAAATAGCAAAACGCTATTTCAAAATAGTTTTTGTGTATAGATGCGTAATTTTGAATTAGCTTAATTCAAACTAACTATTTCGAATTAAGTTAATTAGAAATAGCACTGTAGTGTAGACATACCTTAGGTGCTGAGTGTGCTGAGGTACCAGACATAAGAGCGTGAAGGCAGAGGAATGACACAGCTGTCCATGAGAGCAGAATCCTGTCCAGCAATTGTTACAGAGCTAGGAACCATAGTCGACCCCCCAACAAGGAATGGCCTTGGATTAATTCCATACCAGAACACCTGAGGCATTCCAGCTGCTCCTTTGCACTTCTGAAGGGCAAAGCCTCACAAGGGCGGAGTTAGGGCAGGTGACCTAGGGCCTGTCTACACTACGAATCTGCACATTGGAGCAGTACTGAGGTAGCGGCAACACTATTGTACTTCTGTGGATCGGGCTCCAGGCCCTAATTCGAAGAGCAAGTGGATGAGCTGAAAACCAAGTCACTGGTTTTTCTCGTGGCTTGGTGAAAGTGCTTGGGAGGTGGGCGCTAGTGGGACTCCGGCATCCTGGTCTTTGAAATGTTGATTGTCCGTGGCCAAGTGGATCTTGCTTCTGATGGAACCTTCCTTTGGTGGTTAAAGACGGTGAAAGGCTGACGCCAGACTGAAGGGCTTAAAAGAGAAACATTAAGTGACCAAGGGAACTAGGAATGAGGGCCAAGTGAACAGGAGAGTTGGAGAGAGCGGTGCTGGAGTGGGGGGCTCAAGGGACGGTGGCATCATTTGTAAAGTGGAAGGCCGCGTGGGGGTGGTGGATTGGACCAATGGGCAGCACAAGGGTAGGTGGCGTGAGGCAGGACTTCGGGGGTGAGGTGTGGCATGGGCGGGCACGTCACAGCTCAGGTGCCGGTAGCTCCCCCTTTTTTAGGAGAACTCCTTCACGTCTGGTTTAACAGAGTTTGCGGTACGATTGCACATGCAAGTTACATATTTCGGCTAGAATTTCAAAGTATTTCCGAGTATCGTAAGACAACTAGTGAACCAGAAATTAATTAAAAAAATAACTTGATTTGGACCCAGACTCTGAAAGAATTTGATGTGCCTAACTCCCATGGGACTGAAACCATTGTTTTGCCACTGACTTTCCTAATGCATTTGAGCAATAACCAGTACTTCAGAATTATATGTCTAATTACAATAGGCCCGGTTTAACATCACATCCTTATTCCTAACTGCTTTTCCCCAAAAAAGGCACTAAGCCCTCTATTTAGCTTTAGGCACGTGATGGGTCTTCGCACTGGCTTATGAGGTCATTTTTTGAATGATTTACTATAGTATGTATGTATGTTTTTTAAATAAATGAAAAAGAGAGCCCACATAATTA